TTATTTATTTGAGAGAGAGAGAATGAGAGAGAGAAAGCACATGAGAGGGGGGAGGGTCAGAGGGAGAAGCCGACTCCCTGGGACTCCAGGATCATGACCTGAGCCGAAGGCAGTTGCTTAACCAACTGAGCCACCCAGGTGCTCCTACTACTATGGTTTTTAAACTGTTCCTTCTTTTTGGAGAATATCTACTTCTCTCCAACTTTAACCTCAGTCTTAACCTTTCCATTAGTTATAAATTGGATATTTTCAGATTGATCTTCTGGTGTTTTGTTTTGTTTTTTTAATGTTTTATTTATTTATTCATGAGAGTCAGAGAGAGAGAGGCAGAGGCAGAGGGAGAAGCAGGCTCCCCGCCTAGCAGGGAGCCCTATGCGGGACTCGATCCCAGGACCCCGGGATCATGACCTGAGCTGAAGGCAGACGCTTAACCATCTGAGCCACCCAGGTGCCCCTGATCTTCTGGTGTTTTTTTGTTTGTTTGTTTGTTTTTAAAGATTTTATTTATTTGAGACAGAGAGAATGAGAGAGAGAGAGAGCCCATGAGAGGGGGGAGGGTCAGAGGGAGAAGCAGGCTCCTTGCTGAGCAGGGAGCCCGATGCGGGACTCAATCCAGGGACTCCAGGATCATGACCTGAGCGGAAGGCAGTCGCTCAACCAACTGAGCCACCCAGGCGCCCAATCTTCTGGTGTTTCTAATTCAACCTATTAAATAACCTGAACTGATTGTAAAAAAATAATGAACCTCGATCCCAAATGTCTACCACAAGAAAAATTAATTTATGATGGATCACGAATATAAACATGAGAGGTAAACAATAACATTTTTAGAAAAAAAATGTAGATTTTCATGACTTTGAGATCAGCAAAAAAATTTTCAACAGAGCACAAAGAAGTGCTAAAAAAAAAAAAGTTGAGAAATTTGACTTATTAAAATTAAGAACCTCTGTTAATCAAAAGACTCCATAAGAGGATACTACTACTCAGCAATAGATAGAAATGAACTATGAACATAGAACACAGCATGGATGAATCTCAAGCTAATTATACTAAGTGAAAGAAGCCAAAGAGTACATACTGTCTGATTTCATTTATATAAAACTGTAGACACTGCAGATAGGCATTTATAGGGATAGCACAGCAGTGGTTGCCCAGGAATGGGGTGTTAAGGAGGTGCTGGAAGAGGGATTACAAAGGAATATGAGGAAACTCAAGGATAGGTATGTTCACTATTTTGTGGTAATGGTTTTACAGTTAAAAATAGATGTCAAAACTTACTGTGTCTTGGGGCAGTTGTGTGGCTCAATTGGTTAAGCGTCCAACTCTTGATTTCAGCTCAGGTCATGATCTCAGGGTTGTGGGACTGAGCTCTGTTGGGCTCCAACCTCATCGCGGAGTTTGCTTGTCCCTCTCCCTCTGCTCCACCCCCCCTCCCCCCACCAAGCTCATGCTCTCTCTCTCTCTCTCTCTCAGATAATTAAATAAAATCTTAAAAAAACACAACAACCTTACCATGTCTTACACTTCCAGTATATTTTTTATTGTCAGTTATACCTCAGTAAGGCTGTTTTTAATGTGGAAATAAAGACCACAAAATGAGAATGGGTGAAGGCCATTTAATCAGAGCTTGTCATAGCCCAGGAGTTAGCTGCCATCCCTTGCATTGGCAAAGACTCAGAGGCAGGTAGACCAGTGGGAAGCTTTATAGTGGAAGAAAGGGAAAACTTTCAGATATGTCCTGATACGGGGTTATTGGCATGGGAAAACTATAGGCAGCCTAACTACAAGTGGGGGTATCCTGTGTAGTAGTTGTTTAGGGATATATATTTGGTTTTTCTGTGGTTGGTCCTAAGTTGGAAGCAGGGACAAAAATTAGGGAACTGTCAGTTATTACTCAAGTCTTGACTGTTTGGGGTCAATTTTTACAGGGGTTGTTGTTTGGCTTCCTGGACTAGTTAGTTGGCTAGAGATAGTCTGACTTCCTTGACTGGTTACTGTAGATAGTATGTTGGCTTCTTGGGCTAGATAATGGGGATTTTTTTTTTTTTTTAAGATTTTATTTATTTAATTGACAGAGAGAGATAGTGAGAGAGGTAACACAAGCAGGGGGAGTGGGAGAGGGAGAAGCAGGCTTCCCGCGGAGCAGGGAGCCCGATGCGGGGCTCGATCCCAGGACCCTGGGATCATGACCCGAGCCGAAGGCAGTCGCTTAACCAACTGAGCCACCCAGGCGCCCCGATAATGGAGATTTAGTTTGGCTTCCTTCCTGGGCTGGTTCCTGCAGGTTGTGGGTCAGAGCTCTATTTTTATATAGTAGTCTGGCCTTTGTCCATTAGTATATTCAGACTCTCATGAAAAGAAACAGATGCCATAAGAAAGGCAAGACACAAACTGGGAGAAGATATTTATAGTGCATATCCAACAAAGTACTTATATCCACTATATACGTTTTAGAAACTTCTACAATTCAGTAAAAAAAGATAACCTAATTTTTTAAATGGGTGAAAGGCTTGAACTAGTACTTCATTCATTAAAGAGGACTTCCAAATAGCTAGTAAGCATATGAAAAGGTGCTGATAGGGGAAATTCAGTGATCATTTAATCACTAATTTAATCACTAATCATTTAATACAGGTTAAATGAGATACTACCATACCCCTGCCAGGATGGCTAAAATTAAAGAATTAGTAGTACCAAGTAATGGTATAGCTGTGGAGCGACTGGAGCCCTCATATGCTGATGATAGGAGTGTACATTGGTACAGATTCTGGAAGACTGTCCGTTGTCTATTAAAACTACGTATACTGGGGCACCTGGGTGGCTCAGTTGGTTAAGCAACTGCCTTCGGCTCAGGTCATGATCTCAGGGTCCTGGGATCGAGCCCCGCATCGGGCTCCCTGCTCAGCAGGAAGCCTGCTTCTCCCTTTCCCACTCCCCTGCTTGTGTTCCCTCTCTCACTGTCTCTCTGTGTCAAATAAATAAATAAAATCTTTAAAAAAATTTAAAAATAAAAAAAATAAATAAAACTACGTATACTTTGGACCAACATAACACTGCTGGGTTTACATCTGATGGCAAGGAATATTTATATCCACCAAAAGACTTGTGTAAAAATATAATAGCCAAAACCAGGAAACAACCTGCTTAGAATTTATAAATAGTTTGTGGTAGGGGCACCTGGATGGCTCAGTCGTTAAGCGTCTGCCTTCAGCTCAGGTCATGATCCCAGAGTCCTGGGATCGAGCTCGGCATCGGGCTCCCTGCTCCGCGGGAAGCCTGCTTCTCCCTCTCCCACTCCCCCTGTTTGTGTTCCCTCTCTCGCTGTCTCTCTCTCTCTCTGTCAAATAAATAAAAATCTTAAAAAAAAAAATAGTTGTGGTATATTCATAAAGTGGAGTGCTACATAGCAGTGAAAAAGAATAAAGTGCCACATGCAGCATCATAAATGATTTTCACAGGAATGACTTGAAAAAAGGAAGCTACCCACAAAAGAGCTAATACTGTTTGATTCCATTTATATAAATGGAATGATTTGTCAAAATAGATAAAACTGATCTATGATGATAGAGGTCAGAATAATGGTTATTTTTTAGTGCGTTTACTGACTGAGGGGACACAAGGGAGCCCCCTAGATTATTGGAAATGTTCTGTAACTTGATCTGAATTGTGGTTATATGGTTGTATACAAACAAAATATCTTTTGAAATAGAAGTGAAAACAATAAGATATTTATTGATCTGTACACCCAAGATTTGTGCATTTCACTACATGTAAGTTATACCCCATTTTTATTTTTATTTTTTATTTTTTTGTACTTTCAAGTTTTTATTTAAATTCCAGTTAGTTAACATATAGTGTAATATTAGCTACAGGAGTAGAATTTAGTGATTCATCACTTATATATAACACCCAGTGCTCATCACAAGTGCCTTCTTTAATACTCATCACCCATTTAGCCCATCCCCCATCTACATCTCCTCCAGGAACCCTCAGTTCGTTCTCTATAGTTCTGTTTTATGGTTTGCCTTGGTCTTTTTTTCCCCCATGTTCATCTCTTTCATTTCTTAAATTCTTCATGAGTGAAATCGTATGGTATCTGTCTTTTTTGACTAACTTATTTCACTTAGCATAATACACCCTAGTTCCATCCACATCATTGCAAATGGCAAGATTTCATTCTTTTTTTTTTTTCCCCGTCAGAGAGAGAGAGAACAGCAGGGGTAGGGAGAGGGAGAAGCAGGTTCCCCCCTGAGCAAGGAGGTTGATGTGGAGCTCGATCCCAGGACCCTGTGATCATGACCTGAGCCAAGGCAGACACTTAACCACCTGAGCCACCCAAGTGTCCCACAAGATTTCCTTCTTTTTGATGGCTGAACAATATTCCGTTGTGTGTATGTGTGTATCACAATTTCTTTATCCATTAGGACATTTGGGCTCTTTCCATAATTTGGCTATTGTTGATAGTGCTGCTATAAACATTGGGGTGCATATATCCCTTTGAATCAGTATTTTTGTATCCTTTGGGTAAACCCCTAGTAGTACAATTGCTGGATCATGGGGTAGTTCTATTTTTAACTTTTTGAGGAACCTCCATAGTGTTTTCAAGAGTGGCTGCAGCAATTTGCATTCCTACTAACAGTGTAAGAGTGTTCCCCCTTCTCCACATTCTCACCAACACCTGTTAGGTTTTTTGTGTTGTTGATGTTAGCCATTCTGACAGGTGTGAGGTAATATCTCATTGTAGGTTTGGTTTGTATTTCCTTGATGAGTGAAGTTGAGCAATTTTTCATTTGTCTGTTGGCCATCTGTATGTCTTTGGAAAAATGTCTATTCATATCTTTTGCCCATTTCTTAACTGGATTATTTGTGTTTTGGGTGTTCAGTTTGATAAGTTCTTTATAGATTTTGGATACTAACCCTTTATCATATATGTTATTTGCAAATATCTTCTCCCATTCCTAGGTTGCCTTTTAATTTTGATTTTTTCCTTTGTTGTACAGATTTTTATCTTGAAGTCCCAGCAGTCCATTTTTGCTTTTGTTTCCCTTGCCTCGCCTCGCCTTACCTCGGGAGACTAGCTAGTAAGAAGTAGCTACGGTTGATGTCAAAGAGGTTGCTGCCTGTGTTCTCTAGGATTTTGATGGTTTCCTGTTCACATTTAGGTCTTTCATCCATTTTGAATTTATTTTTGTGTGTGGTATTATATCTCAATTTTTAATATTTCCTTTTTCAACTCTCTTCTATCTTTCCTTAAAACTAGCTTCCTGTTTATTGTTAACTGAAATCTTGTCAAACTTTTTGTAGTTGGTCCTTAAATCCCGTCAGCTCCTCCTTTAAAATATCTCCCATCCATACTGTTTCCAAACCATGACTGTACTAGAGTTTGACCCTTGACCACAAGCCTGCATTATTGCCAAGGACTTAACTGGTCTCCCTGCTTTTCATACTCAAAACTGTTCTACAATATGCCAGCAAAGCTATCTTTCTAAAGCACCATTCAGATGATGCTAGCATTCTGATTGTGTTAATTCCTTTACTCAGAAGTCTTGAGGGAGCTCCCATTTCTGTTGTATTAGGTACAGATCAGGCTTGCATGCATTCAAGATTCTCATGATCTGGCCCCAACCAGCCATACTATTTCCCTATCCATACATAGTGCTTTAGAAAACTGGGATACTTAATAGTTCCAAATCCATTTTGTTCTCTGTTGCTGATACTCTTTGTTCATGTTCTTCTCTCCCTAAATGCTTTTTCTTCCTCATACCAGCCCTATCTGAAATCATTTCAGCCTGAGGGGCTATGATGTGCCCCATGAAATCCATAGGATATAATCTGAGTTAAACAGCCAAACATTTCTATATATGTGCATTTTTCTAGAGAAAGGGCTTGTCTTGTTATCAGATTCTCAAAAGGGGTCCATGAATCCCCCAAAGTTAAATTGATTTAGTGCTCTTCTGAAGGAATACAAATGATCTCATTTTATGTTTTTTTAAGATTTTATTTATTTATTTGAGAGAGAGCAAGAGCATGTGCCGGGGGTCGGGGGGGGCAGAGGGAGAAAAAAAAAATCCCAAGCAGACTCCCAGCTCTTGCGGAGCCCAATACAGGGCTCAGTCTCACCACCCTGAGATCGTGACCTGAGCCAAAATCAAGAGTCGGACACTTAACCAACTGAGCCACCCAGGCACCCCTCATTTTATGTTTTAACAGAGTTTTTGTCTTGTTAAAACTTAGTCCTCACTATGGTGGGTAGTAGAAGTATTTTTAATAGATAAGTTATATTTAAAGCTTAAAGTTTCAGATGCAGGTAAAATGGCTTGTCCTCATCCATTATTTAGGTCCCTAGGTCTTTTCGTGTGTGTGTGTGTGTGTGTGTGTGTGTTCTGGAATTAAATTTTACAGCCTAGATTTCTCTTTGTGGTGAGCAATTTATTTTCCTCAAAAGATACTATCTTAATATTTTTCACTTTGGTATCTTAGGGGGAATTTTTTTTCCCTCCCACATGACTGTTTGCACAGCTAGACAATACCATCTCTGTATGCTTTGAATTTAAAAGATACTAGTCACATTTTTCAACACTTTTTTTTTTTTTTCCTGTTTCAGATTCCTATAGGCAATGGAAACTGATCTCAGTTCCCAGGACAGAAAGGACCTGGACAAGTTTATTAAATTTTTTGCCCTCAAGGTAATTTATCTATTCTCTTGAGCTCAGAACTGTTAGAAATAACTTCCGTGCTTCTCCCTTTTTGGAAACATAGAATAACAGCTTGCAGCTTGCCCATTTTAAGGGATACTTCTGTCTGTTGTAAACCAAACTGTGAAGTTTGGGGGCGGTACTGGGGGTGTAACTAAAAAGTAGCTTCCAATTTTCCACAGCTACTTGTTCAAAAAAAAATATTTTTTTTTTGCAAGGCTGTTTGCAGAAATGTCAAACTATTATGCCAGGTTATTGGCACAGTATGTTCCCTTGGGGTGGGAACAAAGATTGTGGACTGGAATGGACAGCATTTTGGGCATCTTCCCTAAAGCATCAACTAACTCTGAAATGTCTAACTTCCATTTTATTGTTCCCTTCTGGGTAAATGAGAAATTAAAACTGAATTTTGAATACTTTAGAAGTTATATTTTCTTAAATCTAAAAATCATTTCCACCTCTATCACTCCTCCTTCTCATGATTGCCATGTAAAAAACAATCCATGCAGTAGATTCTGGTTGTAAAATTAGTTGGGAGACTTTTGCCATATGGGCCAAGTGATATAAATAAGTGTGGAATCCTTGGTTTAAATCTACTATGATTACATAAGTGTACGGCAGTGAATATTTAAACCTACGGTTGGACTTGTCTTTATGAAAGTCAGAGCCACCATGTGCAAATTTCTTTCTGCCATGTGAGAATATTACAGATCCCAAGCCTTAAACTAAAATTTCTCTAATCAGTTGACATTATGCCCTCGGAAATATTTGCAGTATTATTTTTGTCATGGTTTTTTTTTTTTTTACATGTTCTTGAATTTTAAAATCCTATCCTTTCCTAAAGTGTTGTTATGATCATTGGCATCTTTTTAACCCTGCATTCAGAGGGTGTTAACTCTGACTGTGAGTCAAATTAATTTAAGACTGTTCATCTTTGATATTTTTTTGTTTGTTTTTTCCTTTTTTTTAGACTGTCCAAGTGATTGTCCAGGCTCGACTTGGCGAGAAGATTTGTACTCGTTCATCTTCATCCCCAACTGGTTCAGATTGGGTAAAATTCCTGTTTTTTGTTAAGGCATGTTTGTCATAAGGAATCGTACATAGTGCAGTTGTAAAGAATACAATTTATAGTATTCTAAATCATAACATTAATATATCTAATTCCATTTGATTCATTCACTTGGAAAGTGTGTTCTTCATCGAATGTTCGTCCTAGGTTTGATTCTCATCTTTCTTCTGCAATAGGTGAAAAACTTAGTCTTTAGAAAAATACCTTGTTAACTAATCTTATTATATAATAAGTCATTAGCTCTTTCAGCCTGAGTTTTGGGGCTTTGAATCAGGATATCTTTTCTGGGCAAGGGAGAAATGAATGAATGTCCTTAATTACTCAAGGCAATGCCTGCATTAGCCAGCATAACCATCTCACTGCTTTAAGTTGCCGTAATGTTTCTTGTAAGTGTTTAACACAAAGTCCCTTTTGTTTTCTAGTTCAATTTAGCAATCAAAGACATCCCAGAGGTTACACATGAAGCAAAAAAGGCCCTGGCGGGACAGTTGCCTGCCGTTGGGAGATCGATGTGTGTGGAGATCTCACTCAAGACTTCTGAGGTAAGGCTATGGCCAGGATGGTGTCTTCATTTGGCACTCAAAGCTCTTCACACCCTGCTTCCAGCTCAGCCTCATTCCTGTCTCTTCCCTCTCTGAACGTAGCGCTCTCTGAGGAGGTCAGATTTTTGTACTTATCCTCCCAAACACGTGGAATAGGCTCTTTGTCGTCCTCATACATCAACTATATGTGAAATAGTTCTACTTATCCTTCAAGACTCATGTGCTCTTGAAAATTCACCCCCTTTCTCGGGGGAGAGGTAACTACCTTCTTTAGACTTACCATGTGCTTTGTTGACATTGTTTCTAAAATATAATTGATGTATTGTGATTTTTTTTTTTTAGATGTGTTGTTACTTACCTTATTTCACATCAGGATCAAGGCATATATTGTTACTTGTGTGTTTATTAATTTATTTCCACTAGAAGATTGTGAAGCTGCGTGGTGTAATAAAAGGCAGTTGGATTTTGGAGCTATACAGACCCAAGTTCAGATCCCAGCTGAGTAACTTTGGCCAAATTACTTAACCCCACCCGCACCAACACCACCAAACTAACATGACACTTCATAGTCTTGAAGGGTTTTATATTTTCTCATTTAATCCTTATTTGTAAAGTGCCCAACATAACTTATACATGTTCCTGTTCATACTTTGCACTTTCATTCTTGAGGTCAGCAGTCATGCCACATCTTATTTATTTTTGTAGTTCTTTAAATTCTTTTTGAAATGGGGCAGGATATGAATAGATAATCATCTTCTGTGCCTGGTACATTGTCCGGGATGGCACATAGTATGTTCTTGATGAATTTTATTGAATGAATGATGTCAGTACTTATTCCATGGAAACCTTAGCACCCCAAAATACAAAACTTCCTATTCTTCTTTATTGTATTGCCAGTTTATACTATGAATTACTTTCCTTAGTGATCCATAGGGAGTCCTAAAGGAATCCCTAGAAGAACTCTTTCCTTTCCCAGGTGAGTCTGAGTATAAAATGTTCCGATTGTCCTAGACAGACTGCACCAACTTGTCTTGCATACTTCCTACTGTTCATCCTCCCTTGATTTGGGGGACCAGGGGAAATTAAAAATTTATCACGTCATTTAAAAATGACAGTATGATGGGGGCACCTGGGTGGCTCAGTTGGTTAAGCGACTGCCTTCAGCTCAGGTCGTGATCCTGGAGTCCCAGGATCAAGTCCCGCATCGGGCTCCCTGCTCAGCAGGGAGTCTGCTTCTCCCTCTGACCCTCCCCCCTCTCATGTGCTCTCTCTCTCTCAAATAAATAAAATCTTTTAAAAAAATTTTAAAAATTTAAAGAAATGACAGTATGATGAAAAAGATATATTAAAGATACATACTTAACTTTGATCTAGAACAAGTAAGTTCTGTATTCCAATAACTAACCCAAGTTTACACCAGAATCTAAAAGAATAGCCTTCTTCCAATTGATTGGTAATAAGGTTACTTGTGTTCAAAAGTATGACCACCCTTCTTACTAAGTGGCACATAGGAGTGTTACAGGGTTGAAGGATTTTGGCTTTAGTTTCTGTTTTTCTTTTCCACCCACTAGACTAAGTCTGTTCAGAGCACCAGAGAAAGACTGAACAGTTTGGTTAAAGACATTACACAACTAAAAAGATTTTTAAGTGAGGAGCTTGTTAAGGTATTCCTTAACAGTGGGTGTCACCTAAAAATATCCCCTCTAGAATTGGAGGGAAAGGCTCTCTCCATCTGAAGTATTGGCCTTTCTGAAGAGCAGTTTGGATATACATAGCAAAAGTCTTAGAAGCATAAGTACTGTTTAATCTAACAATGCTAATTCTGGAAATTTGTCTTAAGAAATTAATTTAGGGTGAGGACAAAGTTTTAATCTCAAGGCTATTTATCTCGTTGTTTGTAGTAGTGAAAAATTAGAAATGACCTATATGTCCACAGATTGGGAGACTGTTTGGATGAAATGATGGTCATATGGTAGAATACTATGCAACCATTAAAAGTGGTGTAGAATTTTATAAGGAAAACTTAATGTTATGTTTATTAATGAAAAGGTGATAAAAATAACATATATAGTATAATCTCACATTTTAAAAAAATCTTTTTAAGTTCATTTATTTATTTATTTAGGTAATGTCTACACCCAATGTGGGGCTTAACTCATGACCTTGAGATCAAGAGCTTCATGCTCTTCTGACTCAACCAGCCAGGCACCCCTCACGTTAGTTATTAAAGTGGCTGATTAGGATTATAAATTGATTTTTTTCTTTATTTATATTTTCCAGTATTTTTATAGTGACTGTATCGTGCTTTATAATAAAAGAAATAATTAAAACAAATAAAACTGAAATATTTTTCAATTGTCCCATCTACAGGGAGATTCCATGGAGCTAGAGATTTGGTGTCTCGAAATGAATGAAAAGTAAGTGCTCTGTCTTAGGGTCCGTGGCTGTGGTAGCTGAGAATAAAGCAGATGACGTCATGTGAAAAGCGGGGCTTCGTTATCAGTAATGGAGGGTGTTCTTCCCACTTAACAAAGCCAATAGGTCTTTGCTACAGTTTGCTTCATGCTTGGCTTCCAGCCCAGGCACAGAGATGACCTTCAGCGGGAGGGTCAGTCCAGAGAAACTTAGATGCCACAGGGAAAGGAGCAGAGAAAAGACTGAAAAGGATTTGTTGTTTTCCCAGAGTACAGATAGTTCTCTGATTAAATCCCTTGCGAGCTCTTGTAACATGACTGCTCTGTGTTGTCTGTTTTCTGTGTGGCAGACATCCAAAACGATTTCCCTTCACTACTCCTTTTTACACGTTGTGTTGGTCATAGATTGGAAATGCATGTTATTTTCCTTCTCCATTTTCTTCCTTCAAGGCAGATTAGCTTATTTCCTGCCTGAAGCTTCAGTTTTCAAGAATAGTATGTAGGAGAATGGAGGAAATAGCAACACATCAAAAGAAAAATTTTAATAATAAGTCTGTGAGGTGTGGGTATTATTTTTCTTTTCTAAGGAGAAAGCAATTGCCACGTTATTTAGTCTAAAAATTTTAGTACCAAACAGACTTTTCTCCAAATTTCCTATTAGATGTAGAGAGGTAGACAGCTCATAAGATACTATATTGAAATTGTTTGCACCTCCAGTAATATAATTGCAGTGTTGAATTACTGTTTTTACATGTGTAGCTTTATTTCTTAGATAACAGCTTCAAAGCTAGAAAAAAATATATTAGGTGCCTTTTGGTATCTATCTGCCTGGTTCTAGAGCACAAAAAAGTAAAACTTCTGCTTACCTCAATAATCTGTTGATAAACTGACAAAGAACTCTAATTACACTTTTAGTTCAGAACATGTTTTCATGATAAATTTAATCTTATGCAGTTCTCACACTTAATTTGCAGTTATCTCTGTTGACTGTAATACTCTGTGAAAGGTGTTATATGGACTGCAAAGCAGGTTATATTCTATCAGAAGTCATGAATAATGCTAACAGATGAATCTCAGTCACTAGACAGAACATAACTAACACCTCTATATCCATTGCGTTTCTGTTCTTGGTTCTATGTGAGTTGAGTAGGCGAATGCTGAGCGTGTCTGTGTGCTCCGCAGGTGTGATAAAGAGATTAAAGTTTCCTACACGGTGTACAACAGACTGTCGCTGCTGCTGAAGTCCCTCCTTGCCATAACTAGGGTGACACCAGCTTACAGACTCTCCAGAAAACAGGGGCATGAATATGTCATATTGTACAGGTAAGTAGCATGGTGCTCACCTCCCTGATTCATTCATTAGCCCCATCACTTTGCACATTGTCTGACTGGTAGATGGGTATTCTGTGATTAATTTTGGACAGAGGGTTGGTAGGGTAGTTGATGCTATAGCTTTACTGTGATTGTCTATCCCTCCTCCTTTGTGATCCTCAGCTTTCTGAAGGTACCAGGTTCTTTGTCCTTTTGTTCTGCGCAAGGTCAAATGATTCCTGTGGAATGGATTTGAGGTTGTACTGATAGACGTCTGAAAGCTGAAAAAGGAACTTAAAAAACAGACTGTCCTGAGAAGATTTCATAGCCTTTTGTATTTCAGAATTAAAACTTGTCTAACAAACTGCTAATTCAATTTGTTTTTGATTAGTTGTCTGTGGATATAAAGAACTCGTCAGTGATTCTTTGAGTATTTTCCTTAGAGTAGTTCACCTCAACACATATTTATTGAGTGCCATTTTAATGCAAGCATTGTGCTAGGCCCAAAGAAGAACTGTACACAGGCCCTACCCTACAGGTGTTTCTAATCTATTCGGGTGACCGTTTGGCACATGCATAATTATAATAAAAAGCAGGATTGGAAAACTACATACATAACAGTATCAGGAGAAAAGTACTGGGAGAACACAGGGAGGGAAAGTTTGTTCTGGGTGGGAGAAACCAGACAGACTTCCTGAAGGAAGTGGCATTCAAGCTAGACCTTGAGGCAGAGAGAATTTCAGCTGGTAGAAGTGAGGGAGAATGATCATTCCAGGTGGGGAGTGCAACAGATGGCAAGGCATAGAAGGGGGGACAGGATATGAGCTGTGCTCAGTTTGTTAGATGGACCCTAGTGGTGGTGTAGAGGATAAGTAGGAAAGTGTGAGAACAGAGCCTGGTAAGCCAGGAGTTCCCAAATCACCCAAGACTCTTTTCATATTAGTGATGAGCTACTGATTTTAGCCTTTGGCTTACATGTATAGAGCTGATTGTGAGGAGAAATTAATATAGCGGGATGGAAGGACTAAGGATTAGAGACTCAACTAGTTATGCTGTAACAATCTACTACTACCTGAGAATAGTTATCAAGTCATTCTTTAATTTCCTTAGCAGTAATCTAGCAACCTCACCCATGTTTATTTTTTCAAGTATTTAAAATATTTTTGTTGTCTTCTCTGTAGTCTTTGGGTTTCAAGTTGAGTATTCCATTTGAAAATTACTAGATCTTTATTCAGATATAACAAAAGAGGGACACCTGAGTGGCTCAGTCAGTTAAGCATCTGCCTTTGGCTTGGGTCATTGTCCCAGGGTCCTTGGATTGAGTCCCACATCAGGCTCTCTGCTCAGTGGGGAGCCTGCTTCTCCCTGTGCCTGCCACTCCCCCGCTTGTGCTTGTGCTCTCTCCCTCTGACAAATAAAGAAATAAAATCTTTAAAAATATATGTATATAACAAAAGATCGCTTATAACTCTTACTTTTCATTTACCTATGCTAAGCCCCCTTCATTTTGGTTCTTTTATAAGTAGCCATACTACACTACTAGTCGTCAGCTTAGTTAACAAGGACTCAGTCCTTTTGATTACCAGTGTTTAAAGCTTTCCTTTATTCTGTATCTCCGGAGTAATACAGTATTTATTGCTCACTGTTTATCATTTAGGAGTGCTTTTGGATACAAATAATATGGTTTAAACCATAGAGAAGTGGGTGTTCTCAGAGGTAGATTTGGCTTATTTTTCCCCCTTTTTTATACTATTGTTTTTTGGTTGTTTTTTTTTTTTAAGATTTTATTTATTTATTTATTTATTTGTCAGAGAGAGAGAGAGAGCGAGAGCGCACGCGCACAAGCCAGGGGGAGGGGCAGAGGGAGAGGGAGAAGCAGACTCCCCGCTCAGCAAGGAGCCTGAGGCAGGGCTCAATCCCAGGACCTCGAGATCATGACCTGAGCCAAAGTCAGACGCTTAACTGACTGAGCCGCCCAGGCATTCCTATACTATTGTTAACAGGTTAATAGTAGAGCCTTATACCATTAAAGAATAGCCTTCTGGGTTTTTTTTTAAAGCTATATTTAATCATTTTTCCTCTGGCCTTGTAGATTTAATCATGTCACTGTAGAATTACATCATTATAAAAATTCATTCTGAATTTGTTGTTCATTAAGACTGAATTAAAGTTAACTGCCATCTACTGTCTGTGAAGAAAACTTTTGCTTAGCACCTGAATGGCATAAAGGATATAGCCAAGAAGGTGGTTAGAGAATTAGGTTATTTTAAGCACTATACGAATTACCAGTATTCAAATGAGTACTGAGCTTTTTATTTAAAAAAAAAAAGATTATTTATTTGAGAGAGAGAGCACGAGCAGGGGGAAGAGCAGAGGGAGAGGGAGACACAAGTAGACTCCCCACTGAGCGGGGAGCCCAACACGGGGCTTGATTCCAGGACCCCAAAATCACGACCTGAGCCAAAATCAAGAGTTGGATGCTCAACTGGCTGAGCCACCAGAGGTTGCTAGCAAAATGTCTTTTGGCAACTTTTTATCGACATCATTCCTGTGTTATTTTATGGCAGGAGTCAGTAAACTATGGCCAGCAGACCATCTGCTTGTTTTTATAAATAAAGTTATTTTATTTTATTATTATTTTTTTAAGTTTATTTTTTTTAGTCATCTCTACATTCAGCGTGGGGCTGGAACTCATGACCACGAGATCAAGAGTCTCACACTCTCCTGACTGAGCCAGCCAGGCACCCCTAAATGAAGTTATTGTAGAACACAGCTGCCCCGTTCATTTGTGTATCATCAGTGGCTACTTTTGCAGGACAACAGCAAAGCCGAGTAGTCTGCCTCAGACTGTATGGCCTGCAAGCCTTAAATATCTGATCCTTTTAACAAAAATTTGCTGACCCCTGCTTTATGGTGTCTGTGCCTTTCGTTCATGTATTACAATTTGTGAGACCTAGGCTTCAGATTTACCCTGAATCTCATCCCTAGCTTATTTTTATCTCATGCTTAACGCCTAACCATAGGGCTTTGTACATTGTTGGAGCTTTGTTTTTAATTGAACAAAGCCATGTATGTGTTTAATTTTTAACCATATTACTAGAAAAGTATAATAATGTTTTGTAGTGTAGTTTGTAATGTTTTATAGTTCAGACCTATAGCTAATATAGACTGCCCTTCCCAGGAAAATTCAGAGAAAAGTTCTGCTGTGCTTATATTTTTGTATTTTCAGAATAGTCTTATGTAATTCTTCTATCATGGAAAAGGTTTTCGAATTTCTTAAGCAGTTTACTTTGGAATGACTTGTGACAAGCACGGAGAGCTCCCCTTAATTGAAGACCACTCTCAAAATCTGGTACCTTCTATTGCATATTTGAAAGTTGCCATGTAACACCCAGTGCTCATCACAAGTGCCCTCCTTAATGCCCATCACCCATTTAACCCATCCCCCACCCCCCGCCCTTCCAGCAACCCTCAGTGTATTCTCTGTAGTTAAGTCTCTTATGATATGCCTACCTCTCTGTTTTTATCTTATTTTATTTTTCCTTCCCTTCCCCTGTGTTGATCTGTTTTGTTTCTTAAATTCCACATATGAGTGAAATCATATGGAATTTGTCTTTCTCTGACTGACTTCTTTCACTTAGCATATTATACTCTAGTTTTATTCACGTCATTGCAAATGGCAAGATTTCATTGTTTTTGATGGCTGAGTATATGTATATATGGAATATATAATGGAAATTATTTATATGGAATTTATATATAAGGAATATATAACGGAAATAAATACATATGTCACATTTTCTTTATCCATTTATCAGCTGATGGACATGTGGGCTCTTTCTATAATTTGGCTATTGTTGATAGTGGTGCTGTAAGCATTGGGGTGCATGTACCCCTTTGAATCAGTATTTTTGTATCCTTTGGATAAAATACCTAGTAGAACAGTTGCTGGGTTGTACAGTAGTTCTATTTTTAACTTTTTGAGGAACCTCCATAGTGTTCTCCGGAGTGGCTGCACAAGTTTGCATTCCCAACAACAGTGTAAGAGGGTTCGCCTTAAGAAAGGAGATCTTAAATGTTCTAATCCCAAGAAAAAAACATTTGTATGTAGGTGATGGATGTTAACCTGACATACTGTGATGATCAATTTGTAATATAAACAAATATGGAGTCTTGTACATCTGAAACTAATATAATCTTATTTGGTGAATATACCTCAAAAAAAAAAAAATCTAGTACTTTCTAATAGTGGTGTGAGATCTTTTTGTGAATCTTATTTCTAGATTCTTTATTCCCCAGGAGGTATACTTTGCAGGAGCAGGAAGAAGAAACTAAAATTACAGGCTCCACTTAATTATTATTTTCCTTATTTCTTAGCCAATTCTTCCCATATACATCTCTATGCCTGCAGCTTACTTGAAGTAGTGACATTATTGCTCCATTAGGAGAAGTGGTCATGCAGATGAGAAAGGAAGGGTTTGTTTTGTTTGTTTTGGCTATAGAGGCCCTTAGAATAAAGAATCATTTATTTCTTTTTCTTTCTTTCCTAAGGATATATTTTGGGGAAGTTCAGCTGAATGGCTTAGGAGAAGGTATGTATCAAGGTTGAAAAGCATTTGTAGTGTTAAGAGCCTTCCTGACTTCAGAGATGGGCTTGGATGCTGCCTGTCATAATATGTAGCTTGTGATTCTAATAGGTGTGATACAAGTAAGGAAAAGACCGGTGGGTGGTCCAAAGAGCTTCCAGGGAATGACTGAATAATTTTCCCCAGAGTTCTAGTAACTCAGTATTTTTTCTTATTCTTTATACCATTGTCTGTTTTCCTAATTTTCTATAATGAGCATGTTAAATGTTTCTGATGAGCATAAGCAATTTTGAAAATTGGGCATGAAACCAAGAAAACCAGGAAAGCTTTATTGGAAATAATCGCCTACAAGGCCCCCAGCTCTTTCCTATACTTAGTTCTGGGGGGCAGCATGAGTAGAAGTGCAGTCACTTCTGTGCCTACATAAACCGAGGGCTTCGTGTGATAAAGCCCCAGGGCCCCTTTCCTGTCTCACTGGGCATGTGACACATTTGGGCCGGGTTGGTTAGGACTTGCTCAGACTTTAGGACTAACAGTTTGTTTTGCCTCTTTGAAGGTAGGTTTATCTGGAAATAGAATTCTGATTTCCCTTCCAATATTAGGTCATATAAAATAAATCAAAAGAAAAAAATATATATATACACACACACATAAACCTATATGAAATTGAGGCTGCTGCACTCATGGTGTGAAATAGATAAAGCCAGAGATTGTATGATAGGCTGCATGATTCAGGGAAAGCCAGACTAGAGACAGTATCAGTGTTCTCTAGGGAAAAGCTAATTGTATATTTCTTCTTCTAGGTTTCCAGACAGTTCGTGTTGGGACAGTAGGCACCCCTGTGGGCACCATCACTCTTTCTTGTGCTTACAGAATTAACTTGGCATTTATGTCTACCAGGTGAGGAAAGAACCTTGGAATCCAAAAGAGCTCTTCCAAAGATGAATTCAAGATATTAAAGTTTGTTTTTCCCTCAAACTCCGTGGCTAAGCTTATAGTTCAGCTTTGCCATTGCTGAAATCAGTCCCCTTCTGGAAAATAAACTCAGAGAGAGAGCCCCGTTTCCAGATGGAAGAATCTGAGTGTCTCAGAGCCATCAATGTAGGGTTGTGGTTTATATTTAGGGATGCAATAGTTAAGACTCTAGTGGTACCTGCCAATAGATATAAGGTGAGGGGTCCTCTGAAGACTTCAGGGGGGCTGACAAGGCATTCTAACAAATATTGTCATCTGCTTATTGCATTACAGGCAGTTTGAGAGGACTCCACCTATCATGGGGATTATCATTGATCACTTTGTGGACCGTCCCTATCCCAGCTCCTCACCCATGCACCCCTGTAATTACAGGTGAGGAATGTGTAGGGGCTTTCCCAAACTGCAGCTAGGGAGAGGCATTCATCTTGTACATAGAGTGCCTTTCTCAGCACTCACCAGTGGGCAGGGCGCAGTGATGGAGACCCCACAGGGAGAGAAATGGAGTGGTTAGCTTCCCTTCCTGCTGCTGCCTGTAAGGTACACCAAGCCTTGGAATATACAGACTGAGAAAATTCTTGGACATTTTGGATCTTGACGGTAGTGATTTGACTTTCAATTTGATTTTACTTAGAGACTACAAGAGTGGCAGTAATAAACAGAATGCCCTTCACAAATTAAATGGTTTTCTGGTGACCATTGGCACAGTTTAGTTAGAGATTAGAATCTTCAGGCTCATGCGCATGCAAGCAGGGGCAGAGTGGGGAGGGAGAGGGAGAGAGAATCTGAAGCAGACTCAGATCCCAGAAAACAGAATTCTGTAGAGGTCGGAACAGATGTGTATCAGGAAGGATACTGCCTTTATGGGAAGGACTTTTGAAGTTGGATGGGGTCACCTTTGGAGTCTGGATTTTTGTTTCACTGCATCTCTTTTGCTGACAGTTCTTTAGTCCCAACACTGGCCAGGCTTAAGAAAATATTCTCAAATCATATGTCAGGTAGGATGTTTGGGTTAAAAATAAAAGCCTTGGTCAACCTCTAGATGTTGTTCTCTGGGGTATGTTTGACATTATCGAGGACTCACCACGCCTCTTTTGCCATACTGAGCTCTGCCTGAAACAGTTCTTGTCACAACTTGCATCCTTATCTAACCTCCCTCTGTGTCCTTCTCAAATCAACTGCCGTCACTATAAAATTGATGATTTATTTTCCCCGCATCATAGAACTGCTGGTGAGGACACTGGAGTAACATATCCTTCTGTGGAAGATTCTCAAGAAGTGTGTACCACCTCTTTTTCCACCTCCCCTCCGTCTCAGGTAGGGGGAAACAGGTTCTGGGGGGGGCTATAGTTATTTGGTATATATATGGGCATGAACTGGTACCAGAATTTAGATACAGTCTCTTTTGGTGGTCCTGGTGATTGTTTCCAGAGGGTTATTTTGAGGGGTGAGGGGGAGCCTTCTTATCCAGCAGGTAATACTGCAATGTTTCTAGTCTGTAACCATGCCTTTTTTTTTTTTTTAAGCTTGTATTATTTATTTGAGAGAGAGAGCACGCTCATGTGCATGCAAGCAGGGGCAGAGCGGGGAGGGAGAGGGAGACAGAATCTGAAGCAGACTCTGCTTTGAGCGTGAAGCCCAACACAGGGCTTGATCTCACAACCCTGAGATCGTGACCTGAGCCGAACCAAGAGTCGGATGCTTAACCGACTGAGCCACCCAGGCGCCCCTCTAGCCTGTAACCATTCTTAACCCACAAGATTACATGTAACCTTTACATTCCTAGAGACATCTTAAAATTCCCTAGAAAATGAGTCACAGAATTCCAAATGCATTGTGATACCAGAGAGGTATTCTACCCTACTCTTGTTAATTTGGTAGCTACTTCACTTTTGAAGTGGTAAATATGGTTCCTAACCATGGAAGGAGCACAAAAGGAACCAATAATTATTGGGCATAGACTGCCAATAAGAAACCAGCCGTGCAGTTTTTCCTCATAGTTGACACAGATATCTGGCTATCTGCATTCTTTATCTGAACATTTTTAACCATTAACTTTTCCACTTGAGTCCATCTCCGGTGTCAAACCTAGTTTCAGTGAAACACAGGCTCCATACAAGGTTCCCAGCTTCCCAAGCGCACCCACCTGTGTGGCCTTATTGTGTAATGTCCACGGTACCAAGTCTGCTTTGGCGAAGGAGTCGTTTGTTGCCAGATGACTGATTTCAGGGCACGTTTCTTCCCTTCCACCGCAAGTCATTCATCTCCCACCTCATGGCCTGCAGCTCCCGGCTCTGCCTGCTCATCCCCTCTGTCACTCCCCTCCTCTCTGACTTGCACATTAGGCAGTCTCTTCTAGACCTAACTCAGTTCTGTGTTCTCTAAACTAGTCCCAGATTATCCCCTTTCACCATCTTGTTTTGGGAGCCCAACAAATTAATTCACTACCCATAGATTTTTATTTTCTGTGTTTTTAAATTAAGAAAATATTTAAATTTACTTCATTCTGAGTTGTTAGGAGATACTGGATTAAAATTACGGTTCTCATCTGTTTCCAAAACGGAAGTTGGGCACAAAAGTTAGCTTAAAAAAAAAAAAGCTAGCTGAATGGTGTGAAAGAAATTACAAAATCCATGGGTCTCTGTTATTTCTTTTGTCCCCATTTAGAGTTAAGGAGGTTCTTGTAAAGTTGCCTAGACAGTTTGCATGTTACTGTTACTCCCCTCTCCCCATGAGTGTTTGCTCTGGGAGGGGGCAGCTTCTGGCTCTCTTACTGACATAGAACAATCCTGACCCAAAAAGAGGGAAAGGCCACCAGAGCACATTAGTACAAGTAGATTAGTTTTTAGATGATCAAAATATGAATATGTCAAGTTTGATGTTCTTTGAAGTTTTATTTTTTAATTTTTTAAAAAAATTTTAATTTATTCATTTGAGAGAGAGAGTGAGAGCACGAGGGGGGTGCGGTGCTTAGAGGGAGGGAGAGAAGTAGACTCCCCACTGAGCAGAGAGTCCGATGCAGGACTCAATCCCAGGACCCTGGGATCATGACCTGAGCCGAAGGCAGACGCTTAACCAACTGAGCAAGGTGCCCCTATTTTGTTTTATAAGTGATAAATTTGTAAACAGTAAATGAAGTTGTGATTTGGGAGATACGAGGATGGTGAGGCTGGGCCTTACAAATCAGTTTGTCTCTTTCTCGAGTACAGTGGAAATTTGACCTGACCCCAAAAGTAAGGGGAAATTAAGTAGTTCCTGCATCTCCTGTTTGCACGGAGTTTGTTGACTTGTGTAAGGGGAGCCTATCTTTCTCATGGTATCAGTTGCCTGCTGTGTCTTGTTACAGTTTGAAAGTAGATTGTGCCAAGATCTTACCAACACTGAGCATCCTGTGGGTGGGCTGTGTCACTACCCTCTGAGTACCTCTAGTTGAGGCTGGTACAGTTTGGTGCAAAAGTATTCATTTTCAACCTTAGTGGTAGAACAGAAAGAGAAAATGATTTGCCAGCAAGTCTCATCCTTCCTGTAAATATTGAACTAGTTTCTTCCTTGGCTTAACCCAGGGAATTGCATAATTGTTCAACAACTTCTATTTGAGCTTTTTGCAAAGGTCCAGTAAATGCATGTTAATGTGGTGTTTGTTTTCCAAAAAAAATACGGACCATTGTGTCATGTGGGCACAAAGTCGAGTCAGGAAATAGCTGTGACCCTGAACCTGCTACTGTGATTTCAGGTCCGACCTCCCGTTCTAAGCATTAACTAGCTAATTGGTAAGACTTAAAGATAGAACAGCAAGACCCAAAATAATCATAATTAGCTTTGAAATCTAAGAGTTTTTAAAGTGCCCCAGCTTTTGCTGCATCAAGTTCTCCTTCACCATGCGGGGCTACACTGTCCTGCGTCCACCTGTGCTCACACACGCATGCCTACACCTGTACACACCCATTCCTCCTGCCGCAGATGGCATAGTCAAGTCTGCAGCTGGGGGCCTGAGCGTTTGTTTGTTGTGTTGTTTTGTTTTGTTTTAAGATTTTATTTATTTATTTGAGACAGAGAGAATGAGAGACAGAGAGCATGAGAGGGAGGAGGGTCAGAGGGAGAAGCAGACTCCCCGCCGAGCAGGGAGCCCGATGCGGGACTCGATCCCGGGACTCCAGGATCATGACCTGAGCCGAAGGCAGTCGCTTAACCAACTGAGCCACCCAGGCACCCGCGTTTGTTTTTTTTTTAAGATTTTATTTGTTTAGTTGAGAGAGCATGAGCAGGGGGAGGGGCAGAGGTCCCTACTTTGGACACAGAACCCAACGCGGGGCTCGATCCCAGGACCCTGAGATCTTGACCTGAGCCAAAGTCAGACACTTAACTGACCGAGCCACCCCATTGCCCTGGACCTGAGCATTTTTAAAGTTCTCGTCAACAAATGTCAGTTGTTTAAACCTATCCTTGCAGATTCTGGGTCCCCAGGAAAAGGTCTCCAGTCTAGCATTGTAACCTCAGCGTCTTCATCCTCAGCACGCCTTGCACCTGCTCTCAAGGCCTTGCTGCTGGAGGCCATTCTCTAACATCCTTCCGCCTCTTTTGACTAAGGACACACTAATGCTTGGTTCGGGTTTCCCTGTTTTGCCAAGTCATACCAGCTTGACTCAGCTTTGTTTTCCACCTGCTCATCAGGGCGACAAGCATGTATGCCCCCTGGGATAAATGTGTCTTCCTCAGACGCTTCCAAGTTGTCCTTCTCGGGAGGCAGCCATGTTGCTCTCTCCCTGCCGCACCCCTGACTTCCAGCGTGCAGTTCAGCCCCTATGGCTGGCTCCCCTTTCAGAGTTGTTTTCACTTCTTTCTTAAGTCCCTTTTCTGTTTTCTTCTCTTGTTTCTCCTGTCTCGTGTGTATCTGTGCACAGTGTGTGTTTACTGTCACAAAGGCACATTTTCAGACCCCTACTCCTGTGGTGACGGACACTCTGAGGGTCCCCATGGCAGGACTGGCCTTTTCCCATCAAGTGAGTCCATACTGGGAAGAAGGGGATATAATCAGACGGCATCTTTTTATGTAAAAATTATACATAAAGTACAGGGAATAGCTATTTAAATGTCCCCAAGTGTTCTGGGGGTTATTTGAGGTTTGGTAATTGATTTTTAACAGGATGCAGCCATAGCACAGCAGCCCAAAATAGGATGTTTCGTTTGCCCCTCCTCCTACCATTGATGTAAAAAATACATGGAGTTATTTATATCTTATTTCCAAATAAACAATCCAAGAGTGGTATTCTTTCTTTTTCAGTATAAATAGAAACTCTCCCATACCCAGGGGTGATGGAGGGTGTGATTAGGGAAGACGCCTTCTGTTTCAAAGGGACCTCAAGGACAAAGGAGAAAATAGAATGACCTGGGAAAAACCAATGACTTTGGCTGCAAGTTCTGCTCGGGCTTGTGCTTCGCCAGTCCATTGGGCTGGAAACCTCAACAGTTAGCTGAGCCCCTGGGAAAAGGGGGAGCAGGGAACTCATTTGAGGCCTTTGGAAGGCTGCAGAGCTGGGAATGTCAGTCCCACTGCAAACAAGTCTGTGCTTTCTTAGCCACAGAGTAATGGCCTGCTCTGTCTTTAACCCTTACGTCAGCCGCACCCCACCCCACCCCCGCCCCGCATGAGGATGTGGGCTGGGATCCATTCCTTACCTCTCCACAATCTTGATCATTAGTCATACTCTAGGATTGCCTATTTTTTCCTCCTCCTTTCTTCTGCCCCTCTTTGTTTTTCTCTCGCTTAGCTCTCAAGCTCTCGCCTTTCCTATCAGCCTGCTGCCCTGGGCGTTGGATCAGCTGACCTGGCTTACCCAGTAGTGTTTGCTGCTGGCCTAAACGCCACACACCCTCACCAGGTATCTTTAAAGATGGGGAGGACCCCGGGGGTTCCTGTGCTGCCTCCCCTGCCTTGAGGCAGTGGAGGGGCCTCTTCACGAGCCAGTATTATGCTAAGTGCTCTGAAACAAGGCTCTTAGGTAACTTCAGAGGGCTGAGGTGACGCCAGGAGGAAGGGCCTCCTAGAGTTCAGAAAGGAAAGAAGAGCTTCCAAGTGTTTTCTCCCTCTCTTTCCTCTCCCTCTGTAGTTCTTACCACATACGTCACGTCTCCCATTAGCTGAGTCCCAGAGAAGACAGATCCAAGGTTTCCCGCCCATTGCAGCATTGGTGGTGGAAAAGCTCGGAGGCACTACCATCACACCAGGCCAAGTTTCCTCTCCAGGCCAAGAACACTGCCGTTGTTCACTATATTCTTCCATTTTCCCCCAAAGCTCATGGTTCCTGGGAAGGAAGGTGGGGTACCCCTTGCTCCCAACCAGCCTGCCCACGGTGCCCAGGCTGACCAGGAGAGACTGGCAACCTATACTCCGTCTGACGGGGCGCACTGTGCTGCCACACCTTCCAGCAGGTGAGTTCACGGCCTGGCTGCTCAGGCAGCCAGGGGCCCATCCTCCCTGACACCTGTGCCTATCTGGTGTCAGTAAAGAGTTGCTTTCAGCATTGCCTCAGGGGTGGCACTGAGGCCCCAGATGTGGAATTCTTAAAGTTCTCGATAAGAATCTTACATTGCAGCTGGTATGTAAGGAAGCTGCCCCGAGCTTGCTATTAACAGCCAACAGCCGGGACCTACTTCTTATCACCCTCTTCCAGTGAAGGGGACCTTCAGATGTGGGTTTTTTTTTTTCTCTTACCCCCAAATTCATTCCCTTGGAATGAGTCCTCAGTGTTTCCTGAGGATCAGAGCAGGTGGTTTGCTGTAACCCTCAAGTTTGGGGCCACAGTGGATCTGTGGTGGTAGTTAGGATTATTGTTGTTGTTGTTTTTCCTCTGCTATGTTAGCACCTCATGGAGATTTTTTAGAAACAACTGTTTTTCTTTGGTAAAAATTTTTAAAAATCTTTGTATTTTCTGATTACAGAAGTGATACATTCTGTAAATTTCAAATTATGAAGACATTGATGAGGTAGAACATGAAAGTTCTCATTATCCTACCCTGCACAAATCACCACTGTTACCGCCTTTTCAAAGATGAGAGGATCTCAGAGGGTTAAGTAATTTGCCAAAGAGCACTTAGCCCACACAATGGCCCGGCTCAGGCCGAGCTCCTCTTTCCCTTACACTTGGGAGTTCTCCCATGGGAAGATGAGGCTGTCCTGACCTGCCCTGCCCTCCCTTGACTGCAAGGCCCCAGAGATAATGACGTTGATTGCCCCACTACATCCTAAATGAACTTTTGGATAATAGATTTTTTTTTTTTTCATTCCCACGGTGGAGCAGTTGGAGGGAAATTATTTGGGAAGATCTTTTTGTGCCATCCACCAGGAAAAATAATTACTTTCATTCCTGGTTTCCCAAACTTCCATCCTTTTATCCCTCTCCCTGTCAGATAATCAAAGGAATATCCCGTTAGTCGTTTTACACTCTAGTTTTCTGAGCCTTGACTCCTGAAGCGTGTCTGGGAGTAGCTAGAGATAGAGGACCCTATCTCTTCTCCTTGGGGTAATGGGTGCTTAAATGCAGGTCATCAGAGCTCAGGCCTTTCCTCAGTGCTGGTCTTTCCTGCTGGCTGGCGTCCTCTTGGACGGCACAGTCCTCCCTACCTTGAGCCTCTGCTTTTGGCCAGAGGACCTTTCCTAGCCCCTGCTGCTGCTGGGGCTGTGACTACTAGCCTGGTGGCCACAGGGTGAACCCCCACCTGCATCCCCCATCCCCCATCATCCAGGACTCCACATCAGTCTGGAGAGCTGGAGAGGGAAGGAGTGGGCAGCCAAATGAAATGTGCCATTGAAAGACCTTGCTGAACAGAGGGTTGATTAGGGGTGAGGAGAGGAAACGTGGTGTGGAGCACAGAGGACCTCAGCCCGGGCGATGTGTCATGGGCAGAGAAAGCTCTGCCTATCTGAAGAGCCAAATTTGGGACTCTCAACTTAGGATAATGACACTGCCCCTTGTGAGGTAAGGCTTAAATTTAACACACAACTATATAAACCCTGTAAATGATTCCTTCTTATGGTAATTTTAGATAACAAAACAAGAAGGCAGAGAACAGCTTAAAGCTTGAGTCTGCCTATGTCATGGATTACTGTTAAAATCACGGTTAAGACCTCTGTTTGCCTGTATGCATGATTGCTGTATGCTTGGTAACTGATGCTTACCAGAGGTGTTTCAGATTAAATTTAATGTAAGCCTTACACAGTTGTAACACTTGAGTTTCATTCACATATGCCTCATTTTTAGTGGCTCCTGGAAGTGCAGTCCTCTGCTGTCAACTCAAAGGGAGAGTGACAGTGGCTGCAGTCAGCCCCATATTACCGTTAACCACGTGGGTCGGCTGGTGGGGGGCCACTCCTGCTCTGGACTGCAGCCCCACCAGCGGTGGGTTTATGGGCAACCAAGTAGGTTCTGCCGTGGTTTGAGAATGAGTACCAACACTGTCTTTCTTCTTCAGCGAGGATACTGAAACGGTATCAAACAGCAGTGAGGGCCGGGCATCCCCCCACGATGTCTTGGAGACCATCTTTGTCCGCAAAGTGGGGGCTTTTGTCAACAAGCCCGTCAACCAGGTGATTTTTCTGGCATTGCCACCTGTGAGCATGTCTGAGCCTTTAGAGTGAGGCCTTAGGGGCAGGGCTCTTCACTTAGGGTCTGTGAGACCCCTGAAAGTGCATGCAAAATTGTGTGTGTGTGTGTGTGTGTGTGTATGTGTGAATTTTTTGGGAAGAGGGTTAGTAACCTGTGACTGCTCTCCAAAAGAAGTTCACAGCTCTTGTTCTGTGATCATATAAGCACACTCCCCTAGGAGAGGAAGACTAGGCACCATTTGGTACAGACACCTTGCACTCAAGTGTCAGGGCCTCAGCCTTACTCAAAATAAGAAGTTCCTCTTCAGCTCTACCAGTGCAGAACAGTTGTTACCCAATCACTGTGGGTCAGGCTTCCGAAGCTGACTCCCGGGGTCCAGGGGGGCCCTAACCCTGTTTATGTTATGGGTGTGTGATGGGAGGCGGGGAGATTTGGGGTTCGCCAGCAGGATGGGAACCTGAGGACAGTGTGGTCAGCCTGGGTGTGCAAATCTGCTGGACCCACAGGCAGCTGGTGGACTCTGAGGAAGCCTGTAAAAGCTGGGGCAGGGGTGGGCACTGAAATTTCCGTGTCTCTTCAGGTGACCCTAACTAGTTTGGACATACCCTTTGCCATGTTTGCTCCCAAGAATTTGGAGCTGGAGGATGCCGATCCCATGGTGAGTCCCCCTTTGACTTAAGTTAACAGATGGTGCTGTGTGTGTCGTCTTCCTGGGCAAGTCACTGTTCCTCCACAGACTATTAACCATGCTCCTGGCTTACAGATTTTCAACCAGGTTGGGTCCCTTACAGATCCTTTGATTATTAACAGCAGCTTGCACCCAGTGCATGGAACCAGCCCCTACCTCCACCTTGTTCTGAAACAGGTGAATCCTCCGGACTCCCCACAGACCGAATCCCCTCTCCAGGGCAGCCTGCACTCGAATGGCTCCAGTGGGGGCAGCAGTGGCAATACCCACGATGACTTTGTCATGATCGACTTCGTAAGTTGCCATCACCTTCTTGGACCTTTGCTGCCATAGGGGAAATAAACCAAGAACTGTCCAGGGTACTTGAACAGGACTTCCTTCGCAGGGATCAGAGGGACTGGTACAGATAGGGGATGGGATGGGTGGGCACCTGGCTGTGCAGTTCATGGGGGGAACCTGCCCCCATGCCCTGCTTGGGGATACATTTGGAGGCCCATGAACAAGAAGGCATTTTGTGCCGTGTCTTTGGTTGAAATTCAACTCTAAATGAGGATTTGCCAGTGGTATCCATGTAGGCCCTATTCCTGCCTGAATGGATGGCCCTTTGCTAAGGAAAGGAGTTTGAGGGAAGGGAACATAAACCTTAGCACCTGGTTAGCACCAGGGCTAGAGCTCAGCTGCCCAGAGGAGAAAGGTATAGCAATTCCACCCCCTAAGATGAACCTGGAGGAACCCTTTCTCTGATAATTACTGGAAGGAAAGAGGGTTGTTCATAGCTTCTTTCCCCTGATTTTCCTCTGTGATCTAAGGCAAGCTAAACTGAGTCTGTCTTATTTTTGTAGAAACCGGCTTTTTCTAAAGATGACATTCTTCCGATGGACCTGGGGACCTTCTATCGTGAATTTCAGAATCCCCCTCAGCTGAGCAGCCTCTCCATAGATATCGGAGCGCAGTCCATGGCTGAGGACTTGGTATGGAAACCCCTTCCCCTGCCAGACCTCAGCCTGCAACCTCCTATCCTCTTTGAATGGTCATTCTTGCTCCAAAGGCCTGGAAATTTCTTCGTCTTACTGCCCCACCTCCCACACCTCCCATCCTCTTTATAACAGGAAAGAGACACTTTAGATCCTTATTTTCTGTTGATCACACTTGAGGTTGCATTGTGCCTGGCAGTCCCTGTCTTGAAGTTGCTTGCATCGACTTCCTCCTCTTCTGTCCATGCTCACCATTACTTCCCATCCCTGCTGTTCACTGTCTCGGGTCTTCGGCTTGCGGCTGCCACGAAGCCAAGCTGCTCCAGTCGCTCCTGCGTTCAGCTGTTCTGCTTGTCAGGCAGAACGCCAGCAGTACAGGGCAGAAGAAACGTGAGGTCCTGAGCATTGGTGTTCTTGCTCTTTCCTCAGAGAGCTCATTCCCGATTCAGCCAGCAGTTCTTGAGTTTGCCAGATGTCCTGATACTGACTGTAATCTCTGCATCTCTGCTTAGCGTATTTCCTGTGTCCAAAGGGCAGAGGAGCATGCTGCACGGCTATAAACTCCGGGTGCCCTACACCTCCACGCAGCCTGTTGCCAGGATGTCCCCGGAGGCTCTTAAGTCTTGTCGTAAGAAAAGAATTCAAAGACAGACCAGACACAGTGGTTGAGTGGTGCAGGTGAAGAGTTTAGTGAGAGCACACTTGAGGTGAGAGAGCGGGCGAGCTCGGGAGAGCTGTGCACCCCATCGTTTGGGTCTCTTTTATTGACAGTTGTTAACTAGGGGGGGCATATTTATTATTTGGAAGGAGGATTTCTTTGGGAGTAGGTTTTCATGCCTTTTCTCCCTCACTTGGTCCGGGTCACTGGCCTTCTTTGTCTTTGAGTGCGGCCAGCCAGGACAGGCCTCTGACTTTCCCGATAGCTGTCCCTCACTTCCCCCTTTGCTGGCCTCCAGACATCCGGTTAAAACCTAACTAGCTGCTTACTCTAACACCACAGGATGTCAGGGTGGGGTGGAAATGTCACCTTCTATATCAACATTAGAGGAATGGCTCTAGTAGAAGTAGGAATCTTGGAATATCTGCCCTTGCTTTGCTCGAAACAGAAAAGCATGCTCAGTAATAACACTACTATAACAATATCATTATTATTAACATTTATTGAGGCTTACTAGGTACCAAGCATTTTTCTAAGTGCTTTACATGAATCTTCAACAATCCTAAGAGGTAGCTTTTCTTATTATCCCAGTTTGTAAACAGATAACTTGCCCCTGGTTGCACTGAGCCGGCAACGCACAGCTTTGATCCTAGAGAGTCTGGCTTCTGATTTTAGGCTTTCAGCCACTGGCCCTCTGGCTTCTCATTGGAAACAGGCCTGGAAGAAACCGGACCGCAAAGGCTCCCTGAGTGATTCTGCAGCCAGGAGTAGCCAGTTACCCCCGCCTCCCGCCGCTGCCCTGGTGCCCCCAGCATGTCTGGGCCACCTGCCAGTTCTTGGGGGGGGCAGGCCCAACTCTCCTCAGCACCTGGTGCCAGTCAGGAAATCTCTTCAGATGCACATTCAGCAGTGGAAACAGAGCACCTGATTAGGGTCAAATTTTTATTAATAGTTGATTCTTGAGGGCAGTTAAACTTAATTTCTCAGGTTCTGTTTTCTCTTGTTTATTGTTTTCTCTTAACTCTCTAACACGCCCCTTCCTCAGCAGGTATAAAGATGCTGATTCCTAGGCCTCCCCACAGACCTGCTGAATCAGACTCTCTTGGGAGCGTGGTTGGGACGCCTTTGTTCCTGTGCCCCCAAGGGATTCTGCCCAGCACAGGTCATGAAGAACTCTCCTAAACTTTTCTTGATCTGTAGCATACTAGGCCTACTGTTTCATTCCTGTGTCAGTCTGATCTGTGCCAAAGGTAACTTCTCTGTGTCATCCTGTTGTTGGCATGCTCCTTTTCTAGCTCGGTAAGTGTGTGGCCCACTTGATTCCCTGGGCTGTTCTGCTGAGCCCCCGAGCCCCCACAAATCCTGCTGGACACAAGCCCACTGTGCGGTGCCTGCCCCCCGGCCCAGCATCTCCTGCTCTCCCAGCCTGCACTGTGACGCTGAGCTCTGGGTTGTGCTCCCTTCTCCAGCCAGGGCGGGGGGTCTGCGCTAGCTGCCTCTTCAGGACCCTACCTGAATAAGCAGCTTTTCTCTCCCCTCCTGATACAGGACTCACTACCAGAGAAGCTGGCTGTGCACGAGAAGAATGTCCGAGAATTTGATGCCTTTGTAGAAACCCTGCAGTAAAAGTTGGTGTCCACGGGTACCAGCAGCATCCCCTTTCTGTGGTCCCAGGAGACAGAGCCTCCCACTCATCAGCTGCTTCCATCCCTCATCTTGCTCCAGGTGGAGAAGAGGCTGGTTTCCCCCATGGGGACCCGGAAGTCCCTGTTCTGACACCTCCTGGAGACTCCATGGCAGCAGTCAAGCCCGGTGATAGCATTTGAGAGACTCACCCCCTGGCCTTGGAGATTGGAAGACACTTTATAACAAAAGGGCCCTCGGCAGGGCCATCTGCTTCCACCGCCCATCAGCGACTGCTTCACAATGGCTGTCATCCCATTCCTCCTGCCGGCCCCCTGCCCTGGGTCCTCCCTGCAGCTGGCCCCTTGCTGACTTACCATCAAGCACTTGACATTCCAGCTCCTGGCCCAGAGCCTGGCATGGAGGCAGAAAGAGGAAGGAGACAGTGCTGGGAGGAAGAAGGAAGGGCTCCTTTAGGCTCTTTTTTGGTCCCCTTTGGTTTGATGTCTTCTTCTCTCTCCTTCCCTGTCTGCGCCCCTGTGCCCATACTTTTGGCAATATGACAGGCCTCTTGCCCAAGGTGGCAAGAACTCCAGAGTCAGCCATTCCCACCCTTGAGGGTTGTGCCAGCCCATCTCTCAGCCGAGGCTCTGAGCAGCCCTGGTGGCTGGCTGTGCTCAGCTCCTCAGCTCCATGGAAGCAGAATCCTGGGTCTCCAGGATTCTCTCATTGGGAGTCACAGCAAAGGTTCTTTTTCTTTTTCTCTCCTTCCTCCCCCTATTGCTGCTCCTTGGTTATAAAACATGGTAAATATTTATTACTTTTCAGAGAAATCAGATATTTTATAGAGAAAATATGTTTGAGGTAAGATGTTTTCACTTGGGGAAGGTGGAGGGCCTCTTCCTGGAGTAGGGCCTCCTCCTCAGGAGGTTCCTCAGATTCTGGGTTGCTGCTCTGAGGATCTTCCTTCCCATATACATAAGGTGGGATCCAAGAATAGGGCTGGCTGAGGGCAACGGAACCTCCCAGAATCGCTGCACTTGAACTGACGACAGGCTTTACCTTAGACTCCTACATATTCCTGGTGAGAGCCTTGAATCTCTCCCAGCTTCTGCAGAGCAACTGACTCCATTCTCGCAGCCCAGGAAGTCTTGGGTGCTAGATGTGTACAACTCTGTGTGTACAACTCTTCAGAGTCGTGCAGTGACATAGAGTGCAATGTATGTGCCCCACTGTGGCCCCGGGGAAGGCCAGAGGGGCCCCTCCTTCTGGGGGGACTTGTTTCTGTTTCTCAGGGCTAGGTTATGGGCCTTTTCCTCTTTCCACCTGGGCCTGGCTACCACCTTTCTTTAATCCCAGGGTCTGCACCCCGTCCTGAGGTTTACTAGCTGGATTGGTTCCTTGTTGAGAAACCAAAGCTAGGCATAGGATTGACTTAACCATTTAGGTATTGTTCCTTGAGTCAGTCAAGCACTTAGCCTCACCCACCTATCATCTCTCCCTCCCCCAGCCTACCCGGTAGTCCTGGCCAAGGGAAACAAGGCCCGCCCCATTCCTCCTGGCCCACCTGGGCTGTTATTGGCGGCAGCTGTTCTGCCTTGGGGCAGGTGGTCTTCAGTTGCTTGTTAGTAAATGCATGTGACATCGTTCCCACTGATAAGGCTCAACTCTGAGGGCTGGAGTGCGCTCTCAGGCTGTCTCAGGTAGCCTGAGTCCTGCTCCTGTTGCATGCATTCTGCTGCCACAAAGAAATGTTCCCAGCAGTGGTGTCCGGCTGGCCCTCCTCTTTCGGGGCCAGAGTGCACCCATGGCCTGCTAAACCAATCCAGATCTACCCCGCAGGCCCCAGTGCTCAGAGGGGTGAAGCCCTGGTAAGCTGTTGATCACCCCCGCCCCCCACGTCCTGCCACAGCATCTCAGCCACTGTCCTGAGGCCGAGCATGGGAAGGCCTGTTAGCCATTGTCCTCTTTGACTCCTGATTGTTAGCCTTTGCGGGCAGCAGGCTTTCCTTTAGGACCCTGTCAGTGAGAGGCCAGGGAGGCTGAGCCCTGAGCTGAGAATGGGAGGAGCAGAGCAACTGTCAAGGCTGGCCCTCAGCCCTCGGCCCCAAACACTGACAGGGGTGACCGCTGGACTGACTCCTGCAGAAGCCCCCGGGACAGGGCTGGGGCCCATCACCCGTCTCCAGGTGGCAGAGTCCCTCCGCCTCCTCCAGCCCACCTTGTTTGGAAATACTGAGCTATACTTTAAAACGTATTCGAGAGATTTCCAATAAATTTTTTCTGTACTTGACAGCGTCCTGTCCTGCCAGTTGTCTAAAGTGCTAACCCGCGCTCTCCCGCTTGTGTGTGGGCCCCGCTAACCGACGGCCCCTCCGTGGGAGGAAGAGCAGTGGATGCGAAGTGCAGAATGGCTTCGGAGTCAGGCAGGCTGGTTTGCGTCTTGGGGCTCGGCCACCTTTGGCCGCAGTGCCACCTTGGGTTGATCAGGAAACTTAGCGCCTCGTTTTCTTGGCTCTACCATTCCCATTTCGGGGGCTTGTATGCGACTGGTCAGTGAGATACCGTGTGTGAAGCCGACACGCAAAGCAGAAGCCCCCTTAGATGAAGGCCAGCATCGTCATCAGCTGCTTGTGCAGCATCGTCCGTCCCTCCCCCCCCCCCCTCGGCCTCCAGGCCGGAGCCTTTGGCTTGAGGGCGAAACAGCTGCCAGGCCTCTGCCGCGCTTCCAGCAGGAGCGGGGAAAGGGGGCCTCCCTCGGCTGCTGGTATCTGTCTGCTAATCTAGGGGGAGGCGATGTGGCTGAGCAAACCAGAGGGGAAGGGGCTGAGTGAGGTATCAGGAAGTCAAAGGCGCATCGAGTGTGTTTCGCTGCCCCATCTGCCAGACAGCTCGAGCCGGGCGCCGGGGTGCTCCCTGAGGAGTCACGACGACGAGCAGAAGAGCCCGGGGGATTATTCCTGCCTGGCCCCCGGGGGCTTCTGTGGCAGGCCTGTCAGCCCTGGTAAAGCTAGCTCCTGCCTCCTAACTCATTCCTAACTGGGCCACGGGAGTGGGAGGCGGAGCCGGTGTCCCAGAGGCAGAGATGGTTCTAGAGGCAAGGGACCAACTGCCTGACAGACGGGGGCAACTGTAGTGTGGGTTGCCTCCCTGCCCCCACTTCAGGCTGAAGCCAGGGCAGAAAAAGGTAAAGTTCTAAACTGAGCCCAGAGCTAGGGCTGAAAAGGAGGCTGCTCACTGCTGCTGTTGTGGGCCCTGGGACCCTAGCTTGTTGTTTAACTGCACCTGACACTGGCCGTGATAACTGACCGTGCAGGCAGCTGGGACAGTCACCCAGCCCCTGAGTCAGAAGTGGTGAAGAGACTGTCCCTTGTCTTCACCTTCAGTTGGGATCCCTCCCCCCCAAAACAGTGTTCACTTGCCCCGTGTCTCATGATGGTGTCCTGCCCCTTTAAAGCGTCTCCCGACACTTGGCCCCCCGAGACCTGCTGTTGCCAAGGCAGGGGTAAACTGGCTTTTGAGTCACTCCGCAGAGGTCCTGCCAGGAGTCCAACCCGAGTAAACAGCTCTCCTGATCTGCTCCCCTCTCAGAGTTGCCCTGGGATACTGCTCCTCTGTTGTAAGCAGTCACCCAGTTTAGAGCAGAGCCCGTGAGAGGCTGCCGGGGCCTGCTGCTGGGGCCAGCGGGGTGAGGGCTGGCTCCCTGCAGCTCAGGGCCCGTGTTTGTCACCACCAGCTTCACACCGCTGCTCGATCCTGCAGCTCTGGACCCGCTCCGCCGGCCGGAGCAAGCAAGGAGGGGAAAGAGAACCGGCCACCATCACCTGACTCCTCAACAGGCAGGCCGCAGACAGGTGCAACTTGACGTTGACTGCTGTGCCAAGAGAAATTCTGGCCTGCCCTCCCAGCGACAAACCATTATCTTTAAATTGTGGTAAAATACACGTAACTTAAATTTTGCCATCTTAATCTTTAAAGCGCAGCAAAACCTAGTCAAGAGACGAAAACTGGCTCTCTTCTAGCCTCGGTGGGACCGGGTGGCAGGTGGAAATGGCCAAGGCGCTGAGGGGAGGGTGGGGAGAAAGAAGCTAACAGTCACACGAGGCTTCCAATCGTAGGTGCTACATGAGGTTGGGACCATCTCCTCATTCCTCTGCAACAGTGGTCATTCTGGTCACCACTGGGCACTTGCTCTGTTACGTCCTGTGTGTGTCACTTCAGAGCCTCAGAAATGAAAAGACCGTCCCAGGTGGGCTGATGATACGGCTGTTATCAAGCGGAGCTGGTGGAGGGTGATGGCACCAGGACTCAAGCCCATGTTGCTCTCGCCACAGTCCCTTCTGTTCAGGGCCAGAAGAGGCTGTGGTCATGGGGTACCGCCCTTGGCGGCCCATTGGGATGCTGCACACGTACAACATGGGGTCACTGTTCACACGTCCAAGCCTGGAGGACGTCAGAAAGCCGGCTTCACGCCCACTCCCAAGGGAACGAGACAAAGAAGGACGAGGTCAGATGGACTGGGGAGGGGGACTTCCTGAGGCCCCACCTGCTCATCTTCCACAACCACACACTTCCCAGCCTATTCTGAGCCTCCAGGTGTGCTTCCGGACACCCGGGGGAGGGGGTGCAGTTTTCCATCTCCTTTTTTATTGAAATACAAAAAGTGCAAAGGTGAAATACATGATTGGTGCCCAGGAAGTCATTAAGTGTGAATGTGAACACTTGATTCACAGTACTCTCCCTCTCCCCCCGGGGACAGACCAGTGGGACAGGGGACAGGAGAAAGACCTAAGAGTTCTATGAGGCTCCCCAGTAAAATGGGCTGTGCGTAACACCTGATACACAAAGGAGGGCAGAAAGCAGAAGCCCGGCTTGGGCCAGAGACGCAGGGACTGACAAGGAACCAGCAGCCACTCCAGGCCCCCGGGAGTCCTAACATGCTAGCATCCTCGGGAGAGAGCCCAGTGAGGTCAGGACCCAGGCCGCACCCACCGCGCAGATGGGGCTGGGCTGGTCAATGAGGGCCCCCACAGTACAAGCTCTGGCCAAGGCTAGGGGGGCAGGACCACTGTGCAGGTACTTCCCTCTGCTGCCAGGGGACGAGTGCAGGAAGTGGGGTCCCCGCGGTTCACCAAGAAGGCGTGTAATTCTAAGGAACACAGTTGGAATGAGAAGTACCAATGATCGGGGTCCAGGATTTCTTAAAGACGACAGGGCCCTGGGGGACGTTGCTAGAACTCCCCCGGCAGGGGTTGACTTAATTAGCAAGGTCTCCGCTCAGCCCCTCCAGGAGTCACTAGCTGGAGGAAGAAGCCACAGATCCTGAGGCACTGAGTCGCTTCTGGCCGGAGCAGGGACCCATGTGACCCCACCACAGACCCGCCCACAAGAGCTTAGGCTGAGGATCTGCGGGAGTGGGAAGGGAGGGGAGGCAAGGCATGGGGGGCTGAGACTGCTTGTCACCGGCCCGACCAGACACAGGGGGCTTCTGGGTAGGAATGGGAGTGTCTGTTTCAGATGGATGCTGGGACTCAGCCCTATCATCCAAGCTGCCAGTCCTGGCAGAACCAGGGGGCAGGAACATCCTGGGGGCAGTATCACTTGAGAAGGGCTGACCCAGGATGTGTGCAAGAGAAGGAGGCAGAAGTAGGAAGCAGCCTCTGGCCTTGCCAGTCCTTAGCTGTGTCAACACCCAAGGCTGAACCTTCAGAGGGGAGGACAGGAGCAGATGCTTTGCGCACAGGCCTTCACCGAGGCAGGGAGGTGCGTTGGTAGGGCGGGCCCAAGCCAACCCAGCTCAGCTGCTTACTCCCCAGCAGCCAGGAAGGGGACCAGCCCCAGCTACCAGCCCAGCTGGCATGACAGAGGCATCTGCAGTTGCCAGGAAAAGAGAGGCAGGAGAAAGTGGGGAAGCAGCTGCTGGGGCCAGTCTTTTTCCCCGCTGGAAGAGCCAAGGCCAGCTCTGCAGAGCCTGGCAAGGAGCCAGGGATCCAAGGAGGCAGTGAGAAGTATAAGGCGAAGAAAAACGTCTCGTGGTTACAGCGAGGCCTCCAGGGCTGGCGAGGCGGGCTGGACAGAAGGGGAGCAAGAGCTGCCCGGCTGGCTGGCCCCAGCTTCCAGCCCGCAGGGCCTCACGGCCCCTTGCTGGGCAGGAGCCCCAAGCTCCGATAAGGCTGAAGCCGGGAGGAAGAGTCCCAGTTGGGGCTCTCCAAGAAGGGGCAGCAGGGCAGGGCTCAGAGCCCCCTGGAGTCAGGGCTGGGGAACAACTCCCCTTGGTGATCCAGAAGGAACTTGGTGAACGTGTTGATGGGATTAATGGCCTTGAGGGTGATGGCAGCATCCTTGGCCCACAGAAGGTTAGGGCCGAAGACAACAGCCAGGTTAGTGTTGGTCATCTTGTTCTGGTCACTGTGGGCAGAAATCTGTGGAGGGAATCAGGGGGCTACAGCAGGAAGCCACAGACCTTTCTTCCTATACCCGGGAGCGGCGGGGTGGCGGCCCCTCCCCCCGCCCTCCTCCAGGTGAACAGCAGAGGCTGAGGCCCCGGGCTCACCTGCACCAGGAAGGCAATGAGGAAACGAAGCACCTGGTAGCTCTCCTCAGGCAGTGTCCGGAGCACCTGCAGCGTCGCTTCCACTCTCTGGCTCTCGTCAATGTCTGCAAGGAACCAGGGCCCGGGTCACAGCGGCCCGGCGCTGGGCCAGCACGAGGCCAGAGGGGAGACCCCACCCAGACTGTCCTTGGAGGACAGGCCAAACCTGCCTGCTCTGAGTCCAGCCCTGGCTCCAACCCAGCAGAAAAAAAACACAGAGCCGGGGAGGGAAGACAGGGGCACTCACTGAGGAAGCCCACAACGTGGGGGTAGAGGTCAAAGGTGAGCAGGGGCTCAGGAAGCTCCCGGAGGAAGGTCTTGAGGATGACAGCCGGCAGGTGCAAATCATTGTACTGGTCGAAGTCCACCGGCAGCCCTGGGGGAGGGGGTGGAGAGGAGCTGGGCCTAGCCTGGAGGCCGGCAGCCCGCCTAGAGGCCTGGAGGCCAAGCAGACCCCACTGCCCGCAGCCACTGCACCAGCCCCGTCCTCCCGTGGAGCTTCCTCTTGCACAGGCCTTCCCCTCTTGCTCTGTGACGAGGGGACCGGGTAGGATGGGGCCTCCCAGCACACACTACGGTGATTCCCCGTCTCTGAATGAACCTGAAACCCGGGACCCGGAAGCCTGAGCGCTGAGGCAGCAGGCCTGGGACAGCCAGGCAGGAGCAGGACGCATGCCATCAGCCCAAATGCCACAGAACCT